CACATTCTCTCTCTCTCTCTCTCTCTCTCTCTCTCTCTCTCTCTCTCTCTCTCTCTCTCTCTCTCTCTCTCTCTCTCTCTCTCTCTCTCTCTCTCTCTCTCTCTCTCTCTCTCTCTCTTACATTTCCACATGCAAACAATCATGTCATGTTGATCCCCTCGTTGTTTCTTTAATTTTTCACATATGATGTCAACTGTTGAATCTGAATTCACTGCACTTAAGAGAAATTAAATTTGATATTGAATTATTTGAAAGAAATTTGATCAAAATTTAGCTATTACAATGGAAGGATAGTGAAATAGGCAAAAATAACGAATAATTCATTTTTTTTAAAGATACTATACATCCTAATATCTCTATACAGCTTTGTCATTATTGTGAATGTCTCCTTATATGCACTTTCCATAGTATATTTATAGAGGGAGTTGGCTAGATCTTTCTTCTTTCTTTATGCCATCTTTCTTTTTATCTCGTACCGTCTTCATTAATAATAGACCGAATATGTTTAATGAGAATTAAAGAGAGAGTGAAGTTTATCTTCAACACGGCGGACAACTTCAGGAAACACTTATTTATCTATTGAACTGTCACATTGCCTGATTGTAAATTCTCATCTAAACTTGGCGAAGTTGTCATTCCTTGTGAGGTTTGGTCAAAGTTCATCAGACGTATTCAATTTGGACCAGCTTGGACAAGTTACACGCGGATAACTTGTGGGCCTATTCATTAAAGCCCATTAGGTTAAGTGTTGAAAATACAAAGAAGGAGAGATCACGACAGAGATTTCCAAGCAAAAACTATGCCTCTTGGGGGCTGAAGCCTCAAGCCTTAGAGGAGTGCTTCCATGTCATCTATTAGAGAGATATAGTGAGCTAGAGATCAATATATATTCTAGTCTTAGCTTTAAGCCATGTAATCTCTTGTATTATATATTGTATACTCTCGAGGGTTTGTATCACATGACAGAGAGAGTAATGATCTTGTAAACCACATCAGAGGTGTTTTCTGATACTTCGTAGTGGATGTTGTGGATCTCCGAATCCACCCCAGAGGTAGCGCGCTGCGGCCGTGAACTAGGTGAAAAATTCATAAGTCATGAACAAGATAGATGAATCGTATGAGTAGGTTCAGAGCTTAGCTTCCGTAACAAGTGGGTATCATAACCTTACAAGTGATATCCGAGCGCCAAAAAGTGGTATCAGAGCCCAGACTCATCAATTCAAGGATTCCACATCTCGAGGAGGAGAGACATATGACGAAGCTTCCAAGTGATAAAAAATAATCACAAGGTTAAGGAAAGCTGGTGGTCACGTGGTTTTTCCCTAATCAGAGTGCAAAAACCAGATGATGGACCACGATCAGGTTAAAGAGATTTTTGGTTTACAGGAGAGAAAGAAAAACGGTTGGACGTTCTTCACTGCAGTTCATAAGTTTATGGAGGAAGGATTCACAAGTCAGTTGAATCGGTTGATATAACTTCTAGTTTGAAATCAGGGTTCTTTAGGGTTCTCCAAGGTTGCAAGAACGTGCTACTATGTGAGAAAGACTTCAGGTTACTCATAAGATAAGATGGTGGGAGGCTGCTAACATAAGAAAGATATGTTTTAGAGCTGTCCTCGCTCTGCAGTCACAAGGCGAGTGTGACTATATGCATTGGAGTTTCGGGTTTCTTCATGTTCTGCAAGTTATTGGAGCTGAAAGCATAGTGGAACACAATGGATTTTGCACTGGTTTCGTATGGGACTTTCTGAACATTCAGTGAGGGAGTTCACGGTGTTCTTGGGTTATCTCTACATGGTATATCAGTTGCAGATAGTGTCCTAGTATATGTGGGTAATCCAGCTCGGTATCTCATGGAATTCTTGGAACTAGGAGACGCCTTAGACCTTGAATGATATGAGTTTTCTTCACTACAAGAAAACTCATAATAAGCGAGAGCGTCGTTGTTTCCTCGTAAATGAGACTTTACGAGGAAATAACTACGAAACGGGAAATGTCGTGACACGTTTCTCGTAACGCATATTTCTTCGCGAAAAACTCGCTATCTAACGAGGAAATGTTTCATCGTAAAGCCGGGCCTACGTTTCCTCGTAAAAGACATGCAATGTATTCCACGTAATATACACGCTAAATGTTTTCTCGTTAATAACACGTAAAAATTTCCTCGTAAAGGCCTAGTTAAGTTCGTCGTTAGTCACACGTAAATGTTTCCTTGCAAAGGCCTAGTTAAGTTTCGTAGTTAATTCCACGAAAACCTAACGACGAATATACTTGGAAACTTACTTTTTTCTTTTTTTTTTATAACACTTCAATATTTGAAGTATACAAGAGGATACGAAAAAAAGAGAAACAAAAGAGATGCGATGCGATATAGTAGACACCAATGAAAAGTGATAAGGAACTCATCAACACCCCTTATTGTTGAGCCTCCAAAGCGAGTAGGTAACGCAACCACACGGGATCATTACGGACGATGTACGACTGGTGACGCAGATCACGAGTGAATCTCGAAACCAAACCAAACCGTAAATCTAGAAATGTGCCAATTGGTTAATAAAATCAAAATCTCTATTCAGTGGGTTCAAAACCGCAGGTATAGTGTAGTCACTAGTGACAGAACCAACGAGTTAACCTCACGCGCCTATTTATCGTCACCAAGCTCCCTCCCTCCCTGCCCTGCTCTTAGAGCATTTACATTGAGAGTTCATAAGAGGTTTATAAGGGGGTTCACACAGTTTTCTAGATGAACAGTGATGAACTTCTCTCTCCAAAAGTTCATCCCGGTGAACTCCAAGAGGGTGGAGTTCACCACGTGTCGGAAGGGGATTGGTTCAATTAATTTTTTTTTATTTTTTTTTTTAAAATCTGAAAAAAAGAAAAATAATAATAAAATAATTTAAAGATGAACCCCAAGAGGGGTTCATTGATGTACATGCTCTTAAACCCTAAACTAAACCACTCATCTGTATTCTCCACAATCCCCTTGTGACCTTTGAAAATACATCATCCCTCACCAATGCATTCATCTCTGAAATCGAATCCAAGCTCCTATCTTTTTCTCAACCCTTCAAAATCAACCTCAAACCCATACCCAATCTTCACTTTCCCGAGAAATCAAAAATCCTCACCCAACAAGTCCCTGAGAACCTCCATTGACTTCGACCAAGAAGAAGAAGGAGCTTCGAAAGAGGTCCCCAGTAACGTACCTCGTCGTCAGCTCCCGATTGTAATCAAAAGCTCCGGCAGAGTTTCTAGGTACTTCCTCAAAGGAGACTCCTTGGAGCTTATATACGTTGATGAAGATGATACGACGTCGTTTTCGCACGTTGGGTTCTTACGGCTTTCATCTTTAGCTGTGAAAGACTTCTTTATACCGAAACACGTTAGTGATAGTTATGTAAGTTATGTGAAATGGAAGTTCTTGCACAGAGTTTTCAGCTCTGCTCTTCAGGTTCTTGCCACTCAGGTGAGAACAGTTAAATGTTTAATTGGAACCGAACAGACAGACATGATTTGATGTTTTTTTTTGTAGGCTATGTTTCGAGCCATAGGGATTGGACAGTCTCGGTCACTTGCTTCATCTGCTGCTTTTAATTGGATTCTCAAAGATGGGCTTGGAAGGTTGAGTAGATGTATATACACTGCAACTCTTGCTTCTGCTTTTGACACTAATCTCAAGAGAGTTAGGTTCTCGACGTCTGTGCTCTTTAGTCTGAGCATTGGAGTTGAGTTAATGACTCCAGTATTCCCACAGTACTTTCTTCTACTAGCTTCCATTGCCAACATTGCTAAACAAATTAGCCTGTCTTGCTACTTAGCAACAGCTGTAAGGCTTCCTAACGTTTGTTTCACTCTTGAGTTTTAATGTTTTGGTGTTCACTATGCTTCCCATGTGTGCAGTCATCTGTACATCGAAGCTTTGCTGTAGCGGATAACCTCGGTGAAGTCTCTGCAAAGGCTCAGGTTTTCTTTCATTCTTAGAAACCTTAAAATGAGTTCTCTATCGTTTGTATCACATCTGATGACTTTGTTAGTGAATTTTCAGATTCAAACTGTGTGTTTTGATAACCTTGGTCTCTTACTGGCGGTTCTTTTAAACATGCTATTCCAAAACAACCAAAGGTTAGATGAGATTCTAGTACAGTTTTTTAGTTGTTTCGTTAGTGACATCGGTTTAGAATCTCCTGACTTGCTGTTATGTGCTAGACTGCAGGCAAGTCTACCTTTTGTTCTATATCCGATTTTCTCCACAATTGATCTCTTTGGCATTTATCAAGGACTCAAGCATATCAATCTGCAAACATTAACCAAGGTAGCCTTTTGTTATCTAGGTGATCAGACTCAAACAGTGGAGACTACTCTATATTACAACTTTTGTTTTTCCTTTTCTTATCAGAATAGGCTTGAAATAATTCTGGAAAGATGGATTCAAACTCGTCAAGTGCCTTCCCCTGCTGAAGTGAGCAAAGAGGAAGGAGTTGATCTTTTAGGGAGCAGAGGTGAAAAAATCAGAACCCTCTTCATGATATGGAGGGTTAGTAAAGCTGAATTGTTCATATGTTTTTTGTAGCTAGCAAAAGGGTTTGGCCCATCAGAATAGGATGCTTAGATCCTAAGGCTCAGATTCCTACGCTATCAATGATGGCTATGCAATCACTCTGCAATGATGACAGTTACTTCATCACCATGGAGCTTTCCTCTCAAGGTTTCAGAAGAACACCAAGAGTGAGTTTTTTATTATATGCGATCTTATATGATTCTCTGGTTTGATCTTATCTACTTGGTAAAATATCTAGCCGGGGATAGTTATCTGTCTGCGTGAAGGAGCCAACAATGTAGACGTTATCAGGAGTTTGTTACAGGTAAAGGACTCAACAAACTATCATCAGCTCATGATATAGTGTCAACGGATAAAATATTCTGGTGGTTTTGTTTCAGACATGTTACATACGTAAAGCCTTTGTAACCAATAGATTCAAGAGCAGTGATGCATCCTTCTCAGACTTGACACTACAAGATTGGTCTTTACTCGCAGGAGAGAGTAAGTTAGCTACACGAGATGACTTTACCGAACTGTATAAACAAATGCAAGAACAAGGTTGGATTGTGAAGAACGTGTTGTTGAGTGCTGAAGAGCAGGTTCGATACATTTTCGACCAACACCAGTCACTCACATTGTAAACTGTTTTACACAGAGATTTGTCTGTAAATTTATGCTTGTTAAAATCTATACACAAGTAGTTACCCATCTACACTAGAGACTTTGCTTATTTTTTAATGTGGTAAACATCAATTTGAGAAGGAACTTGGCTCGGTGCTGTACATAGAGTACTCACTCATGCAAATGTTTGCTCTCTCCTCACTCCATTTCAGAATCTCCATTGCTAACTTGAGAGACGCATCAACGCTGTTTGGATCCAAACTCTTGCTAGAAGAAACAAACAGCTTTTTACCAGTCAAGGAAGAGTAGAACCGCTTGAACTTGACCGCTATGTAATGGAACGCGAGCTGACCCAAAGTGGGATTACCATTGTTGTTGTTGGAACGGTGACGACTGACCACAGGGTTAAAGTCTTGGAACCACTCGCAGCGTGTCAAAGGAACACGTTCCACTTTCTCTTCGAGAAGATCGTACTTGTTGAGTATCAAGAGGAAGTCCATGTGCTCAAAGATGGGGTGAGTGATAATGCTTTCAAAGAGTTTCTTGGTGAGTAACATCTTGTTTGTTCCGTCTTCTGAGATCTGGTCATAGTCACTCATCGAAACAACGAACACAACCATCCCAACGTCTTCAAACATGTCTATCCATTTGCAGTTCTCACCGAGGCCTCTTGAGGGTACTCTTATCAACTGGTACCTGAGAGATAACATACAATGTCTTCACATATTCTGCAACCGAAAGGATGTTGTGAACACATGAAAACGAGACTAAACCTGAGTAAAGAATCATGGTGGTCGGAAGGATCAAGATTCTCTTCAACAGCAGTCTGTGGAAATGAGAAATCAAGACAAGCTAGACCACTAGACGAAGTAACTCCCTCTGCATATAGTATATCCAAATCTGATGGCTCATAGTCTGGTGTTAATACGTCAACAGCCTGAAGAACAAGTAACCAGTTTCTTTAGAAGACAAATCCAATGGAACTCAAGCTATAGTGAAGAGCTTATATACATACCCGCTCCAAGAAGTAACTAGCGACACTGGGAAGGAGTCCAAGCTCACTTCTCCGCTTATATGTAGCTTGGATCGCTGCATCTCTCCATAACTCTTCAACCAGTGGGGCATACTCACGAGAAGCTGCAGGGAAAATCACACCGAGATTTCCAGCAGCCATAGTCTTTAGCAGCCAATCAGAAAATGCTTTAAGCCTTGGCCCAATGGAGTAGATGTTGGTTTTAGCTTCTCCTGTTAGTAAATCAAATAAAGATGTTACATACAAATAAACATGATAGCTCTTGTCCATAAACAGTATATGCACCTTCTTTATCTTCAATGAGAGACTGCTTTGTGTTCATGACGCCAAGAGCCTCTTCTTCAAACCTCTCACGGCCTTCAAGAAGCATACCAAGATAACCATACACATTGGTCTGGATAATCACCTTAATGTTTTCACGCTCATCCTCCAAGAACGGTATGTCCTTATAAAGTATCTTTGCCTGAACGAGAAAGCAATTCAGCTGCCGTTATACGCTTGATAAGAAGAAACTCATACCTAAAAAAAAAAAAGAAACTCATACCTGTTTGAATATTGTGCTAGTTCCAGAACCGCTGTTTCCAACCAATAGAATCTTCTGCAAAGTCCTGTGCTCAAGATGGTCCAAAATGCTTCTGCTGTTTGCACTGTGGAGTTGGTCTCCAGAAGCATTTGCAATAGATTTGGACGGAACAGGAAGAGACAATACAGCACAGAGTAACTTGGTCCCAGCCTGAAAAAGTAGCAAAATTTTGGAATCATCTATCAAAGCTGAAAAATGCATTTAAAGACAGGAAATAGATTTCAGACAAAGCAACAAACCTTGCCCCATATGTATCCTTTTGTATTCTTTTGTCCTTCTTCTTGGTAAGATCCATCCTCGTTCACCCAAAAATGAGGGTTACCAGCACACTGAACTCCTGCCAACTGCAATATACATTGCAATACAGAAAACTTAGTTATCAAATGTCATCAAAAGCTCTCTTCAAATCAAAGATATGAACCTGCAGCATCCGTAGCTCCACTTTTGTAATCTCCCTTCCGTTTATGAAAACTTGAGTGTTTCCGTTGCTAGCTTCTGCACTAATAGGACCTCCAACGTTTAGATGTGGACTAATGATCTGATAAGGCTTCTCTCCTTCCTGCGGAACACATCATAATACATATAAAAAAGTTCATGAAACACACCAGAAAGTAGGCCTGCAGGTTCAGGTAGTTCAGTTCAACCAAAATCTTGCTGAACTGAACCGGAGAAAAGTACGGTTTGGTATTCGGGTAGTTCGGTTTTTTATAAATGTTACTAAAACTAACCAAAATTTTTGGTTAGTTTTAAAATTTTTGGTTAAAATTTTTGTTAAATTTAGTTTGAAATTTTTTCGGAAACTTGGTTAACAAGAGTTCTTTTTTTGAAAAAACCGAACTAACCGATTACTGAACTTGTAACCTAACTAACCAAAAATCTTGGTTCGGTTCAAAACTGCAAGCCTACCAGAAACTAAGAACACAAATCTCAAAAGTTTCTCACCTTTCCCCAAAGTCCAGACACTTTATCATACCAATAGTCCCCAGGTTTAAGCTTCTTGGGAGGATTAGAGCAAGTCTGAAGCGCAACCAGCTCTTCAGGGTACAGAGGCTGCCCATTCACATAAACATACTCAGCAGGTAACTGATTAGCCTCACAAAACTTCTCAGTCTTCATAATCTGCTTAACCTCCAAATCATTAAGCAACCTCTTAAGCATCCTAGAACACTTCCCTAAACTCCCACGCTTCGATTCATCAATAGGACACCCAATACAACTAACACACTTCCTCCCTTCAGGCATAGATCCCATAGCTCTAAGCACACAGCTACTACAATACTTTGCATCACAGACAAGACACACTTCCTTCTCCGTAAACCTGTTCCCTTTAAAACATCTGTAACAAGAACCTTTTTTGCCTTTGGTCTGAGGCTGTTTCTTAACCGGAACAACACGACGAGGGACCCTCTTGTCGTTATTACAATCATTCTCTTCATCATCATCATCATCAGAAGCAATACCTAAGAAAGTAACAACTTGCTGTTGCTGCTTCTTACCAGTTTCACTAACGCAATCACCAGTAACCCTAGAGGAAGGATAGTCCATACTCAAAACAGATTCGTTACAAGAGCTCTCTTTCTCTCTGTCTTCTTCACTAACCTCGTCGTGAAACTCCCCAGAGACTTCTTCGGTTGGTGAGACGGTGGTGGAATCGGAGACGAGTTCGATTACAGATGTCGGAGAGACCATCTTGTCTCTAGAGAGGCTTTTGGTGTTTTTATCGATGGAGAGAATGGGTTGAATCACGGGGAAGGACATGGTGGAGGAGATGCAGACGGGGGAGACGACGGCTGCGACGGGGATTCTGTCCATGTTGATTGGGACGGCGCGTGGGATGTCGTAAGGTAACGGAGGACCGTCGTATTCAACGGCGAATAAACAGTCATCTTCGTGGATCGAATCTGGTTTCTTCAATGGCATCTTCTTCACTAACAGAGAAACACAAACAACAACAAGTGGAAGTTTACAGATACAAGAGACAGAGATAGAGAGACAAGAGAGTAAAGTAAAGAATCAAAGTTATTACATTGATGAGATGAATGTTATTTAGGGTTCTTGTTTTGGAGAGAGACAACAAGTGGGAAGAAGAGAAAGGAGAATGAGAAAGAAAGTGATTGTGAGGAAAAGATGAAGAGAGAACCCACTTGCTTTGCTTCTTGCTCGAATCTTGTTCGATTTATTTTTTATTTTATTTTATTTTTGTTGTTACTTTTGCTTTTTTGGAAAATAAAAATGGGGGAAAACGTGGGACCCAGTTAGATGGATGAGGGACAAAACCGAACTTTGTCTTTATTCGACGTCGTAACGAGAGATTGGAATTTGAGCTGTCTCTTCACGTGGGATCCATGAACAGTCTTCAGTACAGTAGTAAAAAGCTCTGATATTTTTTTCCTTTCCTTTTCTCCAAAAAAATTTGGTCCGAGATATGCGCTTCTTAGAAAAGGTAACTTGTTGGGTTTTGGTAACTTACTAATTTATGTAAGCCCATTAGCCCATGCTAACACTTGAAGATTGAGGGGAAGTGATCTCAACGTCCATCTTTCTGAGAATGTGACAAAGCTTGTGGAAGTAAAATATCATTTTGGCAGATATTTAATCTAACAAAGGGAGATGTGGGTGGTGATTGGTGAAGATAGCTAAAATAATTAATTTAACAGATACTAGATCTCAACCCGCGCAACCGCGCGGACATTTGTTTTCATTTATTTTTATATAAACATTTTTTTTACTTCTAAATTGATATATATTATATAAGGTGTGTACATTAAAAATGATATATTATATAAGGTGTGTATATCGAAAGTGATGATTAAATTATTATATAATATAGATTAATTATTGTTAGAAAATGATATTTTGTCATTTTTAAAAATAAACTATACAATTTTTAAAGTTAACATCGAAAATATATAACTAATTAACTTGTACTATACAATATTAAATTATATAAGTTTAATTTAAACATGTATTTTATTATACTATCTATAAATTCAATGGATTATCTAATTTTTATTAGCCCAATAAAAATTTATAGTAAGCCCAATAAATGTTATTAGTGAATCTAATAAATGTTATTAATGATTAAATATATAATGTGACCAACTCTAGTAGATAGTCCATTTTATAAAAAATCACACATGAATGAGAAGTCATGACTTCTCTTTTAATATAATAGATACTAGATCTCGACCCGCACAATCGTGCGGGTATTTGAATACTAAAATATTTAAATTATATAATAAATTAATCAAAAAATATAATTTGATGTTATATACTATTTAAATGTATAATAATGTTTATGCAGCTTATAATATTATTAATATAAAACTTATAAAATTTGTATTTTTTGTAAGAATTTTTTAAAACATTATTATGTAACTTCACAAATTTATATATTTTGTTTTATTTCTAAATTTGAAATATATGTAAAAAAATAAATTAAGTTGGACTTACATAATACATAAACAAATTTTTGGGATAGTATTAAAAGTATTTTACATAATTTTAATTTCTGTTTATAAATCAAAAATGAATTAAAATTAATTGTATTTTATGATAATAATTTTTGAAAATATATCCTAAAAAGATTCTAAAAGATTTTGTTAGATTTTCCTAAAAATAATCTTTATATGTATTTCAAATAAAAATTAAAGATATGAAAAGATATTATAATGATGTTATGTAAGATTTTATAAATTTTCTAAGATGGTCCAAACTACAAAATCACACATGAAATGAGTCATGACTTCTGTTTTAATATAATAGATGTTCACTAAAGCCCTGTTCGTTTTGTTAGACGCCGGCGACAAAGATGAGCGGCTAAAAATATCAAAGGTCACGTCAGCAACTCATTAAAAACAGCTCGTTTGAAAATGTTGCGGCTAAATTTATACACGGAACAATTGCCGCGGGCAGCAATAATGAAGTCGCTGTTTCTCAATGCGGCCATTAAAATGGTTGAAAGAGCATTAGCGTCAGTTACCGGCGACTGTTATATAGAAAGACAATATCATTATTTCTCTCCATCGTTTGTTATTTTTTAGTTGCACAATTTTGCCACCGCGTCAAAAAACGAACATGGCTTAAAGTATTGCCGATGATTACCAGAAAAACAAAAACAAAATAAATGCCAATGTACATAATTGAAATGAAGCATTATAGCAGCTTAAAATCTCAATAACTGAAGTAACAATCCAGGTAAAGAGATTTAAATACAAGGAATCACTTGAGGTTGATAAATGCCTAATATAGTTATTTAAAGAATGTAGTCAATCATATATTAAAAGATTTTTAAGGTTATAATCCTTTAAATAAGTTTGTTTTGGATAAAAACCTCTAAACTAAGTTTTTAATGGAAAAACCCCCAAACTAACTTTATTTAATAGATTAACTCTCTGTTTACAATGCAGGTCAAAATGACCACTAGTACCGCTAAATCTTTAGCTTATGGATTTTTACACTAACTAAACATAATTGATGTGTTTTACCAGTAAAAATTTTAAAAATCCAAAAAATAAAAAATAAAAATATAATACCTTTATCTACAAATTAGTAACTTAAATTTGCAACTTCAGCATTTTAATAATTCATGAAAATATATGAGTATGATTTGTTTTTAAAATCAACACTTTATATGTAGAAATTGAAAATATAAAAAAACAAAAATATAATTATGTATTTACCATTAAAGATATAAAAAATCCAAAATAAAAATATGTAAAAATTTAAAATAGAATAACATTATCTAAGGATTAGTAACTTAAATTTTCAAATGTTAGCTACTAATTTTTAGATAATTAGTTTTACTCTAATTTAAGTTACTAATTTTTAGGGTGGGTTGGAGATGCTCTTAGTGAGAATCCTTAACGGCAAATCAATGAGTCATTAATGCGAGTTTCTTAGGGTAGGGTTCTTAGCGGAATATAAGAAACTTTTTCTTAGCTTTTAACTGAGAAAACTAAAAAACGGCTCTTAAATAAGAGATTTAAGAACTGTTTCTTAGTATTCTCAGTTAAAAGCTAAATAACAATTTTTTATATTCCGCTAAGAACTCCACTCTAAGAAACCTGCATTAATGATCTTAGGCATAAAACTAATTCCAGATTTTTGTCCAACGTTTCGAGGTTTCCTAACTTAAACATCTTTGTCTTATCCAAAACAAACATATTTGAGGGATTTTAACGTTAAAAATCATATATTAAAAGTGAAAAGCATTTGGCTGAGACAAAGATGTTCAAGCTAGGAAACCTCGAAACGTTGGACAAAATGCTGGAATTTTTTTTGTGCCTAAGATCATTAATGCAGTTTTTAGAGTGGGATTCTTAACACAATATAAAAAATTGTTTCTTAGATTTAACTGAGAAAACTAAGAAATAGTTTCTTATTCCGCTAAAAACTCCACCCTAACAAACTTGCATTAATGACTCATTGATCTGCCATTAAGGATTCTCACTAAGGCATCTCCACCCCACCCCTATATTTGCCTCTATACTCTATAATAGAGTAAAATCCACTTGAACTCATTTCTATTTTTTTTCTCTAAAATAGAGATTGCTATATTTTCCTCTATATTTAGGGGAAAAAAATAGCATTCCTCTATAATAGAGGCATACTTTTTTTACAAAATAGTCCTTTAACTTTTTATGATTATACCTAAAATACTTATTTATGAAAAAACACAAATTACTTATAAAACACAATTTCGTTTTTTTTGTTTACAAAATAATTCTTACAGTTTAGAAATAAAGTATATAAAATATTACTATTTTATCTAAAAGTCTAATTTTCTAAATAAAAAATAATACTATTATTTTATTTGAAAGTTTATCTCTCTAAATAATAACAATATTTCAATTTTATATTCAAAGCTAAAACTATTAATTATAATTTAATTATTAAAAATTCTTCATAGATCTTACATATTCATAAACATATTTAATTTGAACGTAAATATTAAGTAATACAACATATCGAAATAACTTAATACTATAGTAATTTGTTAAAATATTGTGAAAACGAAGTGGATGGAGGAGGAGCTTATTGATTTTTTTGGGTGACTGCACTTTTGTAAAATACGTGCTTTCTCAGCTTGGAAATGTTCATGAACATTCAGAGTTTTACAATCACGTCTTGCTATTGCGAAAGGACCAATACATTTTTGGAAAAAAGTATTACATGATATAATGACAACATGTATACTTTTACATAACATGATCATTGAGGATGAACATGATCTCGATTCACCGATTGGAATTGGAAGAGAAGCTCCACCTCCAGAAGTCCAAATACCAAATGATGAAGATAATCGTTTCTAAGAGTTTGTAAATTAAAATAAAGATCTCATTTCTCACTTTGGAATATATTGACTGGTCATTTATGGGAAAATTTTAGTAATAATGATGGTTAGACAATCTCTATTTTTTTTATTTAAGATTAATATCTTTTTTAATAAAATGTTTAATTTAAATAATAATGCATATTTATGAAAAAATGATGGCTGTTACAGTATAACCTCTTTAAATTAATAATCTATAAATTAATATCTCTATAAATTAATATAATTTCATAGTTCCAAATTGAATTTTTGGTTCAACTAATATCTCGATAAATTAATAATCTCTATAAATTAATAAAAATTTTGGTTTTGGTGTAGTCCCAACATTATTAATTTATAGAGGTTTCACTGTATAATGAATGGGTTAATTGAAAAATTTATAAGTTAAAGGTGTTAATTGCAAAATAATTTTTTTTATAAGAATATTCTTTTTAGAGAAAACAATAGAAAAATACATTGGAGAGAAACTCATCTCTATAATAGAGTTCCTTTACTATAGAGGGAAAATAGAGAAATACATTGGGAATGATCTAATAACCTCAATAGGATACAATGACAAATATTATACAAGATAATTATTATTGATGTGTTTGACATATGAGTCATTCCATTGGAAGTTTCTAACATAAATATCACAAACTATAAAAACGCAAAATAAAAGAAGTTGAGTTGAATAGAGGTTTCATTTAAAATTTTAACAACATTTATATTTTCTTAATTGGTTTATTATTAGGTTTAGAATATAACTTAATTAAAATATTATTTTTGTTGTTTGAGATATTTTTAGAATATTTTACCAATGTGGGTGCTCTAAAAATATAATATATATAGTGGTAATATCAACATAACACAAACATTGAATTATATAAATTTCCTGAACACATAAAATATAAATATTAAGAATATTGAAATTCGATTTTCGTTTTAAAAAATATATATTTTGAAATTTTTAATTATTTTTTACAGATTTTAGAAATTTCAATAGACTTTGTAAACTTAGTTTGCAAGATATATATTTCAGCTATTAAATTTATCTCTCTCATTAAGAATATTGAAATTTGATTTTTGTTTTAAAAAAAAATATATTTTGAAGTAAACTTTGATCGTTTGTTATCTTACAATACTAAAAAAATACTAAAAGTTGAATAAGATGGTCAGAGAGGGTGGCACGTTAACTATAAAATTCAACAAATCAGTGCTTGACGGATCAGCCGAATTCCATATCATTTATTCTGCTAACCGAATGATCCTCCAGCAGATGAGGTTACTTTTATATAATTCTAACTCTTTCGCATGCCAATAGAGGCCCCATCAAAGTAATGTTTTTCTTTTAACCTGGAATGCACAATCGACAGATGCAATTCAACTTCCTCTGAAAAATCCTACACCTAAACAACTGCTATTTGAAGCCCTCCACTTCTGTGATTCTTTAGTTCCTCATCAATTCAGTAACATTCCATGTGAACTCTTCACTTCGTCCAACTTAACATAATATACGTTACCAGCGTCCTTTCCTGCACTCCAGTTCCACACTCAGTAATCAAAACCAACTGTATCAGTGGCAAGCAAAATCGCAAAATCAAGCACCACGTCGCTGCAACCACAAGTTATCAGTACTGTGAAACACGTAAGGTTGTTCATTATAACTTCAGTTTTTTTTCTTCATTTAATAGTAGAACCTTCAACCATTAATCTCATTTCCTATGTTGTCTACGATAAGAAAATTAGTTGTTGTTCTTTTATTTTGAGAATTATATTCCAGAAAACATGGAGCAATCAGTTTCTTCAAAACCTCTGCCATCCCTTTACCTTATCTTCCTAGCACCATCAAGAGTTTTAGAGACTCTCATTGCCTCAAAAAGATTAAGATAGTTGCGTTGAAACCGATTAGTTATCTCTGCAGCTCCATCCCTGTTCTCCCAGGTGAAATGTTTCCAACTTTTAATACAGCTCGTGCAAGTCTCAGGAAAAGTACGTTATATCTCCCACTTTTTCATTGATTAATTCTTTTGATTTGTTTCTGTTTGTCTGGTGTTGTTGCAGAGTGAGTGTTCTGAGGTGAGGTATGTTTTTTTCAACGTTCCAAAATTATCTTAAATATTTCAGGTCATTTTACAAATATATGAAAAATGTGAATATTGGATAGAGAATGAATCAATTATATTAATAGTGTTTTAGTTCTATTAATATTTTTTTCATGGGTATCATAGAAAAAAATATGAGACTCTTGAAGTAAATAAAATTCGACATAATGTTACCGAGAAAGGTTTTCTCCAAGATACATTTTCAGAAGATACGCCAGTTGCTGCTACACTCAAAACACCTTCGTGTCTGAAGATCTATTAAAGTGAACATTTTTTTATAAATAAGGGAAACAGAAAATTTTAATTTGTTATCTTATACTTAAGAAATATATGAAACAATCCATCAGTTCTCGACCATTACTATGCCGGCTGGTAAGAAGTCTTCTCAGGTTTCATGGAAGAGAAAATGTCTAAGATATGATGAATTGATAATTTCAAACAAGTAAGATATCTTTTTGTAACCTTGGATAATATTCATCTACAGAGTTCCAAATATGTACATGTGTATACATTGGTAATAGCAGTGGTGGATCCAAAATTATATTTTAGGGGTGTCACTAATTGAGCTTAGCCCAACTTAAAATTAAAATGAATTTTTTTTTCCAATAAAAAGTGCAAATAGAAGATTCGAACTCGGGTTACAAGAATAAAAGAGTGTCAAACTGGGATAAAACGGACCACTTGGGCTACGAGATTTTCACTACAAGCTAACATACTTGCTAAAATATATTTTTAACCTGTGGCAACTGCATCCCCTTTGTTTAAAGTGGGTCCGCCTCTAGGTAATAGTGTGCAGTTATGAAGGAAATGATAGAAGACACAAGTACATTTGTTACAAAACTGAGAAAGGTTCCTCATACCTAGGTTGCATGGAGGATGAAGGTACTTTTCACGTTTCAGAAACGTTCCGGAATCCGAATCTCTTGGAAACTCATGGAAACTAACTAGAAACTCGTTTCTTGAACATTTCACTTTAGAAACTCAATGGAAACTTTAGAAACTTGTGATTTTTTTTTGGAAACGTGAAAAAAAAACACTTTTGAAAGTTAATTTTGTAACATGTATTTTTATTTAGAGTTAAGCTACTTAATATTTAAGTATTAGATATTTGCTATTTTAAAAATTTAATATAATTTTGATATATAACTAATACTTGTTTCATTTTCGTGTACTTAATAAAATTGTTATTTGTTGATTTATATTCTTAGATAGACCAAAAATAAATAAATAATTGTATTCACATGTTAATCATTCATATACATGTATGTATATACATGTATGTATATACATATGTATGTATATATGTACATATTTATAAACGTTTCCATTCCTACAGTTTTTTTTAAAAATCATGTTTCCAGGTTTCGAAACGTTCCGTTTCCACGTACCCGTTTCCGATTCCATGCAACCTAGCATATAACTTCTTTGTTTTTAAGGAAACAAAACAGAATGGTATTGATACGGTGAACGGTCCAAAGCTGTATATTAAGAGCTAGATTTCTATTTCCCTTCTGGCTCCAGATTTTGAAATGCAAGAATCAAAAGATCTGAACTCAAACGCATGTACAAACTCTACAAAACCATGACCACATAATTTTGTTAATTCATATTTAGTTTTATAATCTGCATAGCTTGAAAACTGATTGTCCAACTTCATCCCAAGGATTTTAGAAGCGTAGCTGAGTTTTATCTTCAATGGAAAATTACGTGTAAAAATAATGAGGTCTTTTCAAGGCTATAAGAATACAAAGATATCTCAACAAAGAAGCAAATAACTCACCAACCAGTTCAAGTAATTTCACAATGGCGATACACTTGCGCTTGTTGCACACAAGCTTTTCATTAACAACACATCCCCTCTCCTGTATATGATCTAAACATTATAAAATAAGACAATCATACAAAAAGGTTTGCATGAAAGATAAAGGAAACCGAGAAGATGTAAAACGCTATGTTAATCTATTGAAATGTGTGTCGAGATATCGAAGCATGATTTTTTATACATTTTCATTTAAAATTGGTAACATCATTAAACAGTTCAAGTCATTTCACAATGGTGATACACTTGCGCTTTTTGCACACAAGCTTTTCATTAAAAACATCTTCCCTATCCTATATATGATCTAAAAATTATAAAATTAGACAATCCTACAAAAAGGTTTGCATGAAAGATAAAGGAAACCGAGAAGATGTAAAACGCTATGTTTAATCTATTGAAATGTGTGTCGAGATATCGAAGCATTTTTTTATACATTTTCATTGAAACTGGTAACATTTTAGAAAGGCTGGAGGAAGGTTACACAAAATTACTCACCTTTTTTCCCCTGACTTCATTATATGTCGGCAAAATGTTTGATTCTTCTTTTAGGATAGTCAGTATGAGAGTAAATTTCTCCATAGGTAAATTTGAGCACGTATCAAAAACGAATGATCTGATATAATTTGATTTTATTTATATAGTTAGAATAGTATAACAAACCATAATTTCATAATAATATAACAAAATATTTAATCAAGATAAGTAAATCGTGTTATCATGAGATGATGAGGGACTTTCAATTTCAGCAGAACATCTGTTCCAAACCTCATTAATTTTGAAGGAAACTTGAGAAGCAAAACGTTTGAGTTGATACAATCGAAACATCAACTTATTAATCTCCATGTACCATCCTTTTCCAACTCTTACTACCTTCATACAACAGTCTCTTGAAACAGGTTTATTCGTAAGAATCTATTTAAGAACATCCATATAACATTTCCTATTACCATTGGACTCTATCTTGTCCATGAAGGTTTGGAGATATGTTTTGTATTTTGGTGGGAAGTTCTCTAGCATATAAATATTGTAATCTTCTGAAGCTGGCGATATCGTATCCAATGAATCAAACTCGTGACCGGAATTGACCAGTGGTTCATCGTCAACATCTTGTTGGCCAAAACTTGGATACACATATGATACTAAAGAGGTGATTAAGAAAATTGTCATGAAAATTGTTTCAGTCTCCATTCTGTATGATTACTTTTTAACTTTTTATTTGAATTATTTTAATACTATTCCCGTGATCTATAAGTGTGTATATATAGCAATTGACTGGTTTTGAATGTTCTTGTTGTTGATTATATTAACTGATAAAAAATAACATTTGTAGATGTTTTACAACAATAAAGTTTATTTATTACTTCAGTTAGCTCTAAAAGTAATACTTTACTTGCTTATTTCATAAATTTAATGTTAATTAAATAAAATATATATAATTAGGTTCTTCTTTAAAAACCTTATTTAAGGATTGATCCTTACACTAGAATCAGTTTTGAAGCTATGCAGATTATAAAACTAAATATGAATAATATATTAAGTTCTCATGGTTTTGTAGAGTTTGTACCTGCGTTTGAGTTAAGACTTTTTGATTCTTGCATTTCAAAATTTGGGGCCAAGAGGGAAGTAGAAATATAGCTCTTAATATACAGGTTTGGACCGCTCACCGTATCAGAACCAATCTGTTTTGTTTCCTTAAAAACAAAGAAGTTATATGTTTTGTGGAAAACATTTTAAATGAGCTTTAGATAATTAATTCACAAATTGTTATCACAAATTTTCATATTATGCCTTAGGTAGGATCATAAAAATGAGATTTAACTTTTTGTTTTTCAAAACTGAAAGTTATCTATTTTTACCCTATATTGTTCTCTTACTTTTTTTTTAATTATAAATTTACGAGATTTTCAATTTATTCGAGTTACAAAGAGAGAAATATTCAATTTTATTTAACAAGATTTATGTGCTTTATATTTGATAAACTAAAAAACTATGCTAAACAAAAACTAGTTAGAACAACCCAAGATATCACATTAGAGTTTTTATTATACCACATTAAAATTAGGAAAACGAATGATCTGATAGAATTTGATGTTATTTATATAGTTAGAATAGTATAACAAACCTTAATTTCACAATACATCATATAATATAACAACAGATTTAATTAAGATAAGTAAATCGTGTTATCATGAGATGATGAGGGAATTTCAGTTTCAGCAGAACATCTGTTCCAAACCTCATTAATTTTGAAGGAAACTTGAGAAGCAAACCGTTTGAGTTGATACAATCGNAGGGAATTTCAGTTTCAGCAGAACATCTGTTCCAAACCTCATTAATTTTGAAGGAAACTTGAGAAGCAAACCGTTTGAGTTGATACAATCGAAACAGAAACTTATTAGTCTCCATGTAGCATCCTTTTCCATCTCTTACGACAGTCATACAACAGTCTCTTGAAATAGGTTTATTCGTAAGAATCTCTTTAAGAACATCAATATAACATGTCCTATTACCATTGGACTCTATCTTGTCCATGCAGGTTTGGAGATATGTTTTGTATTTTGGTGGGAGGTTCTTTAGCATATAAATATTGTAGTCTTCTGAAGCTGGCGATATCGTATCCAATGTATCAAACTCGTGATCGGAATTGACCAGTGGTTCATCGTCAACATCTTGTTGGCCAAAACTTGGATACACATATGATACTAAAGAGGTGATTACGAAAATTGTCATGAAAATTTTCTTACTCTCCATTCTGTATGATTACTTTTTAACTTTTTCTTTGAATTATTTTTAATAATATTCTAGTGATATATAAGTATGTATATATAGCAATTGACTGGTTTCGAATGTTCTTGTTGTGATTTGTATTAACTGATAAGAAAATAACATTTTTAGATGTTTTGCAACAACAAAAATTTATTTATTACTTCAGTTAGCTCTAAGAGTAACATTTTAGTTACTTGGTTCATAAATTTAATGTTAATTAAATAATTTACATATATTTATAGTGCTTCTTTACACAAAAATGTTAAGACTTGAATGTAAAATGATAAAAGTTGGTTAGATAATGGTTAGAGCGCTTAAGTTGCTACTTCGTCATATAACAATTGTGTTTGCTTGTTATTGAAAAAAATGCCACGACCAATATTATATTAAAAAACTATATGACTTGAAATGTTTGGTGAGTTATTTGTTTCTTTGTTGAGGTATCTTTGTATTCTTATAGTCTTGAACAAACTTTATTGTTTTTACGCATATTTTTTTCCATTGAAGATAAAACTCAGCAACGCGTCTAAAATCCTTGGGATGGTGTTGTGTTGGAGAATCAATTATCAAGCATTCCAGATTATAAACTAAATATGAGTAATAAATTACGTGCTCATGTTTTTGTAGATTTTGTACCTCCATTAGAGTTCCGACCTTTTGATTCTTGCATTTCAAATTTAGGATAAAAAAAGAAGTAGAAATCTAGCTCTTAATGTACAGTTTTAGACCGCTAATCGTAACATCACCAATCTGTTTTGTTTCCTTAAAAGCAAAGAAATATGTTTTGTGGAAAAGATTGTAACATCAACTTGTTTGTTTAGCATAGTTTTTTTTAGTTTATCAAATATAAAGCACATAAATCTTGTTACACAAAATTTAACAAGATTATAAACACATAATTTTCTTTGTAACTCGAATATACTACATTGTTTCACTTTTTATTGTTTTTTTAATAATTTACTTGATTTTGAAACAATATAGTATATTCGAGTTACAAAGAAAATTATGTGTTTATAATCTTGTTAAATTTTGTGTAACAAGATTTATGTGCTTTATATTTGATAAACTAAAAAAACTATGCTAAACAAACACTAGTTAGAACAATCCAATATATCACATTAGAGTTTTTCTAATACCAATTTAAAGTTAGGAAAATGATAGTCTGATAGAATTTGTTTTTATTTATATAGTTAGAATAGTATAACAAACCATAATCTCATAATACACATAAATATAACAAAAGATTTAATCAAGATAAGTAAATCGCGCCATCATGAGATGATGAGGGACTTTCAGATTCAGCAGAAAATTTGTTCCAAACCTTATTAGTTTTGAAGGAAACTTGAGAAGAAAAGAGTTTGAGTTGTTACAATCGAAACATCAACTTATTAATCTCCAGGTAACATCCTTTTCCAACTCTTACAGCACCCATAACAAGGAGTCCTTAGGAGGAATCCTTAGGAAAATATTATTTTTATAATCAGTGAGTCCCATGAGTAGTTAAGGATTCTATCCTTCAAAATTTTATTTAAGGATTGATCCTTACACTATTCGCGGGCTCCACTGCCCACATGGCGGCCTGCGAATGGTCAGTTTTTTTTAAAAGAAAAAATCCAAAAAATCCTTATATAATCCGAAATGTCCCTTTTCTTTTTCCCTAAGGATTCCCCCTAATGACCCCTTGTTGTAGGTGTGCTTACTACATTCATACAACAATCTCTTTAAACAGGTTTATTCGTAAGAATCTATTTAAGAACATCGTTTTCTATTATCATTGGGTTCTATCTTGTCCATGCAGATGTGAAGATATGCTTTGTATTTTGGTTAGAGGTTCTCTAGCTTATGTATTGTAATCTTGTAAAGCTGGCGATATCGTATCCAATGAATCAAACTCGCGACCTGGATTGAACAGTGGTTCATCGTAGACATCTTATTTGCCAAAACTTGGAAACACATATGATACTAAAAAGGTGATTACAAAATTGTCGTGAAAATTGACTTAGTCTCCATTCTATACGATTACTTTTTAACTTTTTATTTTAATTATTTTTTATACTATTCCCGTGAGCTATAAGTGTGTATATATAGCAATTGACTGGTTTTGAATGTTCTTGTTGTTGATTATATTAACTGATAAAAAAGAACATTTTTATATGTTTTACAAGAACAAAGTTTATTTATTACTTCAGTTAGCTCTAAAAGTAATATTTTACTTACTTGTTTCATAAATTTAATGTTAATTAAATATTATATATATATATATAATTATAGTGCTTCTTTAAACAAAAATGTTAAGACTTAAATGTAAACGACAAAAGTTGGTTAGATAATTGTTCGAGCGGTTAGACTGCTACTTCGTAACGTAACAATTGTGTTTGCTTGTTACGGATAAAAATGCCACGACCAATATTCTACTATAATCTATATGAATTGAATTTTTTGGTGAGTTATTTGCTTCTTTGTTGAGATATCTTTGTATTCTTATAGCTTTGAACAAACATTATTCTTTTTACGCGTAATTTTTCCATTGACGATAAAAATCAGCAACGCTTTTAAAATTCTTGGGACGAAGTTGGAGAATCATTTTTGAAGCTATACAGATTATAAAACTAAATATGAATAATATATTAAGTGCTCATGGTTTTGTAGAGTTTGTACCTGCGTTTGAGTTAAGACATTTTGATTCTAGCATTTCAAATTTTGGGGCCAAGAGGGAAGTAGAAATCTAGCTCTTAATATACAGGTTTGGTCCGCTCACCGTATCAGCACCAATCTGTTTTGTTTCCTTAAAAACAAAGAAGTTATATGTTTTGTGGAAAACATTTTAAATGAGCTTTAGATAATTAATTCACAAATTGTTATCACAAATTTTCATATTATGCCTTAGGTACGATCATAAAAATGAGATTTAACTTTTTGTTTTCCAAAAATGAAATTTATCAATTTTTACCCTATATTGTTCTCTTGCTTTTTTTTTAATTATAAATTTATGAGATTTTCAAACAATATAATTTATTCGAGTTACAAAGAGAGAAATATCCAATTTTATTTAACAAGATTTATGTGCTTTATATTTGATAAACTAAAAACCTATGCTAAACAAACACTAGTTAGAACAACCCAAAATATCACACTAGAGTTTTTATTATACCACATTAAAATTAGGAAAACGAATGATCTGATAGAATTTGATTTTATTTATATAGTTAGAATAGTATAACAAACCTTAATTTCACAATACATCATATAATATAACAACAGATTTAATTAAGATAAGTAAATCGTGTTATCATGAGATGATGAGGGAATTTCAGTTTCAGCAGAACATCTGTTCCAAACCTCATTAATTTTGAAGGAAACTTGAGAAGCAAACCGTTTGAGTTGATACAATCGNAGGGAATTTCAGTTTCAGCAGAACATCT